CGGACTCACATTGACCTCAATGTCCTCGGCAGTCTTGCGAGATTTGCGCAAAACTGCTTTTGATTGGTTTAAGAAGGATATTGGTGAAGGAATATTTATAGGGCAAACGAATAATGTAAATTGAAAACAGAAATATTAGTAGATTATCCGTACCTGGAGCGGCTTCCTCAACGTCTTTACACTCCATCCGTCGGATATACACAGCATAGACGGTGCTAAACTGTCTTGAGTCAGAGGGATTATTCAATTTCGTGAACTTTCGACGAACTTTCCCTGTTTCGTAGTTTCTGCCCTTATATCGGCAATGTAATCGAATCCATCAAGTTCGTCAGCATTTAGCACTTCGCCACCAACTACTAATTGACCCTAAAGATAGAGAAAGTGTGAGTTCTTAATCACTCCATAGAATGCTAATGCTCAAAAGGTACTAACATTAGAAACCATTGCCACCCCTCTGTCTTCAGATTCTACCAGTGGAGCGTACCAGCAACATCGGACCTGGTTTTTTATGGATTATAATTATTGTAGAGATATTATTATTTTCACCTGCAATCCCTTAGCTCCATTGAGACCCCTAGGAGCGATACCGCCCAGCCACTGACCAGGAGCGCAGCCTTGATCAGTATACTTCTCCTCACATTTCTAAAAATCTTGTGGCATATAAATGAGAACTAATTGTTTGTTTTTAAAGGGTTTATCCTCACCGCCACTCGCGGTGTCATATAAGGATTACGAAATGGCGAACGTAATAATTGGTCGGATCGCCGAAGATAACCATCCTCTTTGCCGTCGATCCTTGAGATGATGAAGTATAAGGAGTAAACAATATGTAATTTCATGCATATCGCACCTATAGAATTGAGCCGCATCACCAGCCCTCGTACCATTAGCGTTCCAACCAAAGCATTTCGGTCGGGCACAACCTAGCACTGGTTGACCACTATGAAGTACCTGAGATAAGAACAGTTTAGGAGAAAAAGTGAAGCGGCCCGACTGGATTTTAGGAAAAAA